ACATTTCTAATTGTCCAAGGCCACAATTGGCCTGTAGGCTGAAAGTTTGACATCCCTGGACTGAAGTTTATAAGGTGGGTTTGGGATGATAAAAATCCCACCATGACCACCTGTTCAATCTATAGATCAGCATCTTCTAAAGTAACATAGAAAACCCATGTCTTCAGAGTAAAAAACAAAAAAATTAGTATGACTGCCAGAATGAGAAAATTTTACAAGCTATTCTTAAAGCATTCGCCACAATTAATAAAAGCTAGCATGGTTACCTTGATTGTTGTATATAGGACAAGAAATGGAAGTGGTCTTTGATCTGTATATAAACTATATATAATTGTATATAAACTCTATTTACAAACTATTTTTTTCTGGAACTTTTGCAACCTGTGCGGAATTAATTGGCCTTCAATTATTACTATTGAGAACTTGCTACTTTTTATTACATCTTGTAGAGAATTAATAATTCATAAGTAATTAGGAAATTAGGTTCATGGTTCAGTATTGTTTTACTATCTTTACAAGTCAAATAGGGATGCAAGATATACTGAACATAATTTATGAATAGTAGAACTATTTATATTTAGGATTGTACTCTGAATTAGATCTAGAGGCTAAGTGGATGGATAAGGAATCCTATAGCATTATATTATATATTTTGCCAGGTGTTTTTAAAGCTTGAAAAAAAGATCAGATAGCAACAAGGTGGAAAATCCGCAAAACATTTCTTGTGAAGGGCTGTAGGAAGATTTGAGTAATCAGGGCTCTATGTTTGAAGACAAAATTGGTTTGTGGCCGTTGTCTGATAAACCATAACCATCAGTGGTTTTCTAATCACTTTGTAAAATTAATGCATTTTAATGAATACAATACTTTAATAATATACCTTTCTATAAGAATGTAAAATAGTCTAGCCTGATCTAGCCAAAATCCACCTTACTCTAGCATTTGTTTTTCACAATGGCCAACCAGCTACTGCTGGGGTCCCCATGAGCATGAGAAGAGAAAACTTTTTTATTATTGTTTGAATGATAACTGAAGGCATGATTCCACCATCCTGGAACTAACATTGAAGTTTCAGACTTGCATTGCATGAATTGTTCAACCTCCTTTTAAAACCATCCAAACTAGTGGTCATGTCTTACAGCAGTGAATTTTCATTAATGTTCCATTGCGTTAAAATGTACTTTCTTAAGTCTGTTCTAAAACTAACTAATCCCATTAGATAACTCTAGATTGCATGGCTGGCTGGGGAATTCTGGGAGTTGGAGTCCGGACATCTTCAAGTGGCCAAGGTTGAGAAACACTGCTCTAGATCCTAATACTTTGAGAAAAGGGCAAAATATTTTCTCTATCCTTGTCCCCTTATGAACGTTATTGTATACACACTGAATGGCTCCCATTTCAAGTATGTAGTATACAGCGCTTCACATAATATTGCACACCAAATGTGAACATACCACTGCTTTGAATAATGCTGGCAATTTAATCTTTGAACCATTTCTTGATGAACATTAGCATACAGTTTCCCCTTTTTGCAGCTGGTGCACACTAAATTGACACCTTTAGTGAACGATCCATTATGATATAATGATATTTTTTCCTGGGTAGTTATAAGAATTCATCAATCTAAATATGATTTTGCCCAGCAACCACCATTTATATTTACTTGAAGGGAATTGTATTTGCTATTTAACTCCATTTAATCTAAAGAGCTTTCTGAAGTTCTACACAGTCACTTTTAGCTTTTATTATATTGAATAGTTTGCTATTATCCTCAAACTTATCCACTGAGCCAAGGTGGCGCAGTGGTTAAAAGCAGCACTGCAGGCTACTGCTAGATCAGCAGGTCAGCGGTTCAAATCTCACCGGCTCAGGGTTGACTCAGCCTTCCATCCTTCCGAGGTGGGTAAAATGAGGACCCAGATTGTTGGGGGCAATATGCTGACTCTCTGTAAACCGCTTAGAGAGGCCTGAAAGGCCTATGAAGCGGTATATAAGTCTACTGCTATTGCTATCTCAGATTTATTTTCAGTCCAGAGCATTTACGAGCAATTTAGAAAAGCTGGTTTTAACAGATCTTGGAAGGATTTTGATCTTATTTTCTTAATTAGGGGGAAAAAAGATTCATAGGTACCTACATTTTGTTTTCGGCTTAACATTTTGTTAAGCCAGTTAATAATACATGAAGTCCTCTTATGCAGCACTAATAAGTATAATCAAGAACATTTTATGAAAGATGTTTTTAAAGGCTTTTTGTAAAACCAGATTACATGTTGATTACAGTTTACATCCATGCCCATATATCACTTGATACTTTAGTTGGTAAAAACAGAGTTACTTTTGCAGAATCCATGAATTATCTAATTTCAGCAAGGTTTCATCTTGTGTAAATTAGTTATTTTTATTTAATTATATTTTCCATCATTTGCCCTGAATCAATATTAAGTCCAATTTTTCATAATGAACATTAAACAGATTCTAAACAATAATTTTAGGATCTCCCCTTCATCTTCTTAAAATTGTTGTCACAGTATTTGACTTTTAGTCCTTTGCTTTGGACCCCAACGTAAGAGATGTGCCATGGTTTTGCAAATACAGCAATCTTACATTTGACTTTTTAAAGATTTCTCAGATGGGTGTCCTCAGAATCTGCTGTTTTTGTATTATATAGGCTCTCTTTTTACCTCATTTACTTTATTTCTGATTTACTCCCTGAGAAAATACTTGCTGTGTATTAGTTATTTGGTATATATCTTCTGTGCCAAAAGCGAGTGCTAAATATTTGGGTTTTTCTACAATATCTGAATCTTCCTCGAGCATTTATTTCCTTCTTTCTTATGTAATTTCAGGGTTATAATCCTATTTTGCAGGAGTGGAAAAATTTAGAAAAACATTTCTAAATGTTTTGCATTTACCTCAGTATCATAGCAATTCTATGATTATTTCACTATTTTTTCAGTGGAAGTATATGGCAAACCATTGATTATTTAAATACCTTTAATTATTTAGAGGAAAATGAGGAAGCAATATGCATTGGCATAGTTTTATTTATATAGTTCAAATTAAAATTGAATATACTAACCAAAGCTTTGCAAATACTAGACAATGAAAGTAAGTATTTCACTGATAAACTATCTTTACACAAGCTACTGCATTGACATGTATTCTCTTTTTTAGTTGCAGAATGTGTATTATGTATTCAGGTTTTGGAGTTATAATTTGGTACATAATCAGATGGAAAATCAGGTTTCTAATAATTAGTTTGCATTTTTTTTAATGCAAGTATGGCCATCAGGTACTTCTATTCACAGGGTATGTTATGACAACTTGCTCCAAACCTGTCTTCCTAAAGACGGGCGCACATAGGACTTGGGTCTTTGCCCAGTATTCACAGTGACACCAGTCTTATAATTGTAGTATTAAAGTAGGGGTTTTCACACCTCCTAAAAAAAGAAGAATACTATTAACCTCTCATAGTTCTTTGCTGTATAGACACAAAGGCATCTTGTTTGATTGACCCTCTGATTATAATAAATTATATTGTTCAGATTTTTCCAGGAGGATTCTGGTAGATTTTTAGATTAGAAATGGAAATAATTAGTGAGTTATATTATTTCTCATGTCACTATCTCTAGAATAAACAAGGTTTTAGTCAGTTATACTGTATTATAGATTTAAACAACAGAAATATCTGACCATTTGAAGTAATGTATACAGGGTTTTTCATATAGATATTTTAGTAAGAACCTTATCTTCTATTAGAAGAACATGTCTTCTTTTATTGTCTCCATACCAGATCACACTAGACAGTAAATATTGCCTATTATTGTCACAAAGATGAAAGTCAACTACTGTATATGTCACAGTAGCTTTATTAACTAGTTTACATCACTAAATTCTTTCAACAATAGAACACATTTTGTCGAATTTCTATTTTAAAAATACTTTTTGGAATCCGACTTATAGAATTGAATATTTGGAATTATATACAAAATGCCAACTAATTGATATTGTATTATTTTAATTTAAGGCTTATGCTCATTTAAGCTTTCAAATAGTACTGTACATCTTTTGCATGTCTCATAGCTAATTTTATTCTCAATATTTGCTCTTTTAAGGAAAATTGTTTTAGGCTTCAATTCTAAGCATGCCTCTGTGTGATGAAATAATCACCAAATAAAAATAAGACTGTTCTGTGGAGCCACTTTATTTTCCTGACTTTATAATGTGTAAAATCTATATGAAATATAGACACTTCTTTTTCAGTGCTTGGAAAGGTGTCTAAGGGAAAGGAAAGATTATAAATTAATTTATACTACTAGAAGTGAACAGGTACTTTCTTAATGGCATATTTTCATTTTCTACCACAGTTCCCCAAACTGTAGTGGTTGAAGGTAACTATAGAATCAGGCATTTTCCTGCTATTTGTACCATTTATAAATCCTGTACTCAAAAACAGTTCAGCTTTCTTATAGCTGTTATACTAAAAGAGCTCATTTTCACAGTTACCTCTTTCCCGGCTTATCTTTTGGCATATATACATGAGATAACTTGTAAGGAGAAAAGAAAAAAATTAAGAGAAACCAGTGTGATGATTTACTCCACATTTTTTGGGGAAATTTGGGCATTGCCATTCAATTAAATAAAATGGAATTTTATTAGGACAAGAAGAATGTTACAATCTGAATTGTAATTTGATTCATTACAGTCTTTGTCATGGAATGACATACCAGTCACATATCTTATGTTTCATTGTCCAGTTTATTGAACCCATTTTTCATCTATTTAGAAGCCTATAATCCTAAGTGTACAAAAACTACAAATTCCTTTGAAATATTTCTTTGAAATTTGAAATAATATATGATTATAGAAAGTCCTATAAAAATGTATATTTGGATAATTTTAATAGAATTTGAATGAAGTATTCAACCATGAATGGATTGCAATTGCTATTCTAAATGAACTAATTATTATTTTATTTTTGTTTTATTTTTTCATTCCAGTATATCTTGAGGATAGTTTTGTAAAATCTGGAGTCTTTAATGTATCTGAACTTGTGCGGGTGTCTAGAAGTAAGTCCTTTTCATTTTCTGAAGTTTTATTTTATTTTTGGATGTATAATTAGATTTATATTTGTATAGGTTGCTATATGATTCTTTCCAGAGTTGATTCTTTATAATAGTGCCTCCAGTTACATAACTAACAATACAGGTAGTCCTTATTTATCAATTACTCATAGAGCAACCATTTGAAGTTACAGCAAAGCTGAAAAAAGGAAGACTTATGACCAGCTCTTAAAGTTGCAGCTGTTGCAGTGCCCCACAGTCACATAATTGTAATTCATGTGCTTGGCAACAAACACATATTTACGATGGTTGCAGTATTCCATAGTTACGTGATTGCCATTTGCAACTTTCACGGCTGGCTTTTGATATGTAAAGTCATTGGGAAAGCCAGTAAGCTGCCGTCACATGATGATGTACTTAACAACCAGCAGTGGTTTGCTTAATGATTACTCTGAAACAGACTTCATAAGTCAGCACAGTCACATGACATTTCACATAATGACCATGCTGCTTAGCTGTGGAATTGTCAGTCCAAATTGTAGTCAGTAAGGACTATGAACAATGTAGCTAATGCTATATACCACAAATTTCCATGATTGATAATTGTTTCACCTATGATGGTTGATCACATCAATTCACTTTAAAGGTGGATTAAAATTGATATCAGAATGCATTTCTTTTATTTGTAAGAAAGTTATAATCTATAAATAATTACCTGATAGTATGTTCTCTTAAGCTTGATGGGGCTTACGTCTGTGTAAACAGACCCAGGAATTTTAAGTATTGAAAATAGATTGCAACTCTTTACAGATGCACAATAGTTTTGGGCCCTTTAATGTTGTAAGTTAACTGTATATAAATAAACATAAGACACATGTGTTAGTGACATGAAAACAGAACATGTAACTTGGAATAATATTAAATAGAAGTTTATTTTCAAAAGCCATTTTTTATTTCACAAAACAACATTTGAAGTTCATTATTGCCTATAGATAGTGATGGTTAACCTAACTGGAGTGCGCGTGCCAGAGGACTGGAGTCCAGAATAGAGCAGCTGGCTGGTGTGCATGTGCACAGCAGCTAGCTGTTCTTCTGGGTTCCATTGCGCACATGCATGCTGGACAGCTGGTCCGGTGCGCATACATGCCGGATAGCTGGTGCTGGCATGCATACGAGCCAGCCAGCTATGCTCTTGGGTTTCATTGCATGCATGCATGATGGCCAGTTGGTTTTCATGTGAAGACCAGCTGACCAACACGCATGTGTGTGATAGAACCCAGAAGAGACCAGTTGGCCAGTCCGCATGCACGTGGTGGTGATGGTGCACGTGCCCACACAGAAGGCTCTGCATGCCACCTCTGGCACATGTGCCATAGGTTCACCATCATGGTGATAGACTGTGTGACTTGATATGTGTGAGAATTGGAGAACATACAAACCAGTTAATAGGGGTATGCAGAGCTTCCTAGGAATGTTTTACTGTGGGAAATCTTTAAGAGAACCAATTCCCTCAAAGGTATCTTGTGAAGCAGTGTATCCTGCTGCATTTAGGAATGGTCTCCAAAACTGATGCTCTGGGAGATGGCTGACAGGAGCCTGCTTTGAAAATATTGCATTGAGCTCATTCTGGGTACCCAGGATCACTGCAAGCTATTCTGTGGGGTAAAGCAATTCTGCCTATTGCCTCCTCCAAATGATTTGCTAAAGAATCTGGGCAAGTAGTTGAAAGAGCCTTTCTCTGTTTCTGTCAAAACTCTCAGTTCATAACCCTGTTTAACCCCACTGAAAGATAGTTTAAAGAGGTCAGAGGCACCAAGAGTCAAAGTCTTTCTTTGGGGAATATTGGGAGCAGTTGAAAAGAATGTATTCCACTATGATTTATTGGACTTTAGGACACCTTACCCATTTTCACTTGGGTTTGCATGCTGAGATGGGAGGGAAGGCTTGTCCCATGCCCCTAAGTACAAATTATGTCTTTTAATTGAACAACAACTAATAATTAGATAAAAGTGAATTTGCTTTGATTTTGGGTTATATTAATATGTTTGTTTAAACAATAGGCTTGACTTTAAATTATGTTCTTTAGCACCTATAACCCAGGGAGCTGGAGTAAACTTCCCCATTGGAGAACTTCCAGGTCAACCATACTATCATGACATGAATTCAAGTGTTAACTTACAGCGATCACTATCCTCTCCACCAACCAGGTGAGCTTATTATGTATGTGGTTATGTAATATATTTTAAATGATTTTGCTTTGCAGCTTTTCAATAAAATATGCATTTGTCCAGTAACATGGTTTGTGATGGATGAAGGGGAAGGAAGGGCCTTAATGGAACAAAAAGATAAGTTGATATATATTGATCAACATTCCTCAATAAATAATTCCAGTTGACAGTTTTGTAATGAAAATAGTTCACAGTAGAAATTATGCACCAGAATGAAAATATCGAGAGAAAACCTGTAGCTTCCAAACCCGTGAGAATTGTTAATAGCACGGATAGGTGTCTCATTATTTGTTTATAATTTGTTGACTCAGAAAGGCAGGGAAGAGACTTTGAATTAAAACTCTATGACATAAACCTACATAGAGGATTTTTATTCATGTATATCTTCATAGGCAGGTCTGCTTGCGCATGTGTAGCTTCATTTTTGACTGCAATAATGAAATTAATTTGACTGTGCTGGGTATGTAAGTAAGCCTTCTACTGACAAGCCAGTTCTGGAATAAGGCCTGTTGGAGTCCTAACTCTGCATGCCTAATCTAAAAACAATCACTAGTATATTAATAAGAGAATAATGTGTACAGTATAAATAACTTCAAAATCAGTGTAAAGTGTCAATATGTCTATCAAATGTAGTTTTCAGGATTGATAGGTCTGAAAAGTATTGTAGTTTAAAATATCAATAGAAATTCTGCTTAAATAAGCCCTTATTTCTATATGTTTACAGTAAGAGACCCAAAACTATATCCATAGATGAGAATATGGAACCAAGTCCAACAGGAGATTTTTATCCTTCCCCAAATTCACCAGCTGCTGGTAGTAGGACATGGCATGAAAGAGATCAAGGTGAGTGCTCAGTTCATTTTCTGTCTACTCACTACCCACTAAACTATTTTGAATTTAACCAGGTTTACTCATAGATAGACAAAACAGTATCTTAGAGCTCTTTTTTTCCATTATTTCTTCAGAAACTATGAATATATGGTAGATTGGAATAAAGAAGAATTTTTTTAATCTTTTGAAGTTAAAATACTTCCTTAGAATATTACATTCAGTAGTAATTATAATATCATCCCCATTATTGAAAAGTTCTATTTTGTATTCATCAAATGCACAAATCCCTTTTTCAAAGCCATAGTACTCATTTACAAGAAATATTTAATAATTGATTAACTGGTAGGCAAAATGCAGAGACATTATATTGATTAGCAGAATCTAGAAAGATTAGAAAATGATTGAATAAATTATTGGACTTCAGTTATACTGTGAAAGAAAGGATGATTAATCTTGACGTTTTTTTTTCTGGCCATGTTGCTATGCATTTAATACTCTGACATGAAAATATTTATTTCTATCTATTGGTTCCTGTGGACTTTGTGTGAATAAAATCTGAAATATAAATGAGAAGTATCCTGTTTTACAGAGGCATACATGCATTGTTATTTACACAAAGTTACAAATGATAGACCTGAAGTAAATTTTAGCTAAATGAATACACAACCACATCTATAATGTTTTAATGTTGTTCAGCCATGCACTTTATTTCATAGCAATATTACATTGAAGAGGAAAATTAAGCATAAATAGTGAATGGAAATGATTATTTCTTAGTTTTCACAATACTGCCTTTATTTCTGTTCATGTTATATTATATCATTGCTTAGTAATTTTGAAGCTCTGTGATGTGTGAAAAATTCCAAAGATTATTAGAATTCCAAAGATTATTTAAATATATAGTAAACGATCTGATAAAATATCACATTAAAAGTTAGAATTATCTGTTTTCAGGAGTTTATTTCCTTTTTCTCATACATTTATACCTACAATCACTTACTTACTCTGTAATTTATAAATTATACATCAACATAATTATGCCAATTTCATATATTGGTCATAAATGTATGCCTAATTTCTTCCTAATACAACACTCAAAACATAATTTTTGTAAGACTCATGGTGCTGCATGAAGTTTTCAATTTAATCTTTATAACTGTTCCCTTTCTATTGTAGTTGTCTTTCTTTTCTTTTTCTGTTCATTGAACAGAAGTCTTAAAATAAAATTTTGAATCCTTTTTCCCTTTTTCCAATACATTTATAAATGTAAAAATTTTGTGATGAAGAAAAATGAAAAATTTCAATGCTTACAGTTATGAATTTGATATCAAAAATCTTGCAATATCTGTTTATTTTTGTATTTTTCAGTATAAAGTAAATCCCTCAAATAATTGGTTTGTTGTGTTGGCTTTTAAAAGTGTCATCTGTGATTTGTTTTTCTTGTTTTTATGAATAGGTTTTGGAATTCAGATAGTTCAGAAATGAGATCTGGAATGTTTCTTAAGTTGTTATAACTTATCTACTGTTCTGTTGCTCTTGCCATGTGTAGAAATGATTGCCTTTACCAGGAACCATCACAGATATTTAAAGATGGAACTGAGAAAGCATGTTCCGGATTCAAGGTTAAAAGAAATGCGCACATTTGTACAACCACTTCTATACATGGTGTGGGAACAGGATCAAACTACATAAGCACAAGGTCTACTCTGAAGGAGACATGGCATTTATACAGAGTCTAATTGTCAAAATTGTCCTGATAGGTTAAAAATTTGTGATGGTCTCTGCATAGTTCTAGTTGTGGAGTGTAGAGATCTGTGGTGCTTAATCTTTGGTAACCTTCAGTTAAGAAAAATGTGTCTGAGTGTATTCATGAATGTAAAAAGGCCATTAAAAGCTTAGATTGTTTCAAATACAAACTTATTTCCTCCCCAGAATTTTAGTTCTTCTAGTTTGTCTTTTTTACATTTTACTTTTTCTGATTGATATTTAATATTATTTTATATGGTCTTTTGGGGTGCTTTCAATTTATTTTCTATAATCATTACTATGCTTTGTGCATGGCCATTGATTTACGCCTTTTTTGTATCTATATTCAGTTTAAGTGATATTTTACTTTTCTTAGATCAAAATGCATATTCTCTTGATGTGCTTCAATAACAAGTACATCCTTCATTGTCAATTAGTTTGCCAGAATAGTATCCGAAATGCATCGACACATGTCTTTCTAGCTTTTCTAAAATAAAAACCACTTGCTCCAGAAAGCACAATTTACCGGTATCTATCAGAGTAACTATTCTGTTATTGAAATATTTTTATTCTGATCTTTTCAAATTAAGAGGCAAAAATGCTTTTGCACATTTAGATATGTTTGAATTTCAGCACAGATATGACTTTGTTGTTCTGAGTTGGTAAGTACTAAGGTTTGATGCAATTGGTCCCAGAATCATGGTATCTTCAGGAGATCTTCTTAACTAGTTATGTATCTTTCCAGCTTCTCAGTTTGGGCTACTGAATATTCCGGGGGCTTTGGTTTGCTTTTCTCTAGTCTCAGATATAAGGGTAGGAAGAAGCTGCACTTGCAAAAGGTGTCCATGCAAAAGAATTTGGTATCATCATAAAGGAGAAAGAAGAAACTCTGTTGACTAAATTGCTGCTTTCCTAAGTTTCCGAGGCTAGGGGGAGAAGATGAGTTACTTGTTATCCTCAGTTCCCTTCATGCAGTGCCATAAAAGTATGGTTATGCAATAACGACAGACACAGATTTTCTAAAAGGTTCCTGAAATTCAGCTGCACTTGAGATCTTTGCTCCACAAATATGAATTTGCAGAACCACAATTATTGGTAAGTAGTTACTTTTTTAACAACAGCAAAAGATGATAGTTTTATTGTCAATTAAGAAAAGTGGGAATTGTGTGGATTTTAAATATTATATATAAGAGTTTCACCTTTGAAGAAGTGAAGATTATCCTAAATAACAGATTCTGAGTTTCAGTCTGTAAATAGTCAAACTAGTACCATTTATGTGCAAGAGAAATACCAACACATTGGAGAGCTTGAAGGTTTGTTAAATTATGTGAAAAACAAGGTTAGAGACAAACAAAATTAAGTTGAAGATTCCAGAGCATTATAATGAAAACTGAGCATATTTGTTGATGGTTGAAATTTGACTGATTATTGAGGAGAAAAGAGTATCTTCAACATTGCAGTACTTTGTCCTGCAACATTGTATTTCCTGCTTGTTTATTTCTCTTAGGCACATTTTATTGAAAAAAGACAGTGTCATATTCAATAATTATTTGCTTTCTGAGTTAGGTAATTTGGAAACTAAGTTTGAAATTGTGCAATGGCATAAGATTAAGCCACATCTTGGTACATACTTGTATCTGAATTAGTCAAAAAATACTCTTGAGTTTGTTTGTTTTTTTACAGTTGATTTTAGTTGATAAGACATTGTACATATTCCTGATAGTTTTAGATCTGGGGAAAAAAGATAAGAATTTACTGTAAGATTGAGAATCTTACAGCAATGATATAATTCTGAAAAAATTGAGATTAATGAGCCAATAGGCTATCAGGACATCCTATAATAGCATCAGAGGTTTTTGTGGTTTGTGAATTAAAATCATTTGCCATTTAAGTGAAAATGTAGCTACTCTATTCTACTTTGCTTAGAGCAGTTAATTCTTTTCCCTCTCAATAAAGACCTAAACATAGGAAGGAACAATTAACATGTAATTTTATATTTTAGGACTATGGATCTAGTATTCATAATCTTATATGGATCGCACCCCATGGTCTTAGACAGTTATTATTTAACATTACTCAGAGCTGTGGAGTGATAATGAAAAGGAATGGATGGTATACTTCATCTTAGTCCTCAAAATTATAAATGATTTTAATCCTTGTTCAGATTCATATAATAATACATTTTCAATTGATTATTAATTTATATGATTACAGAAACCAGCAAGCATTCTGTACAAACAATACTATTTTTAAAGGATACTTCTTCAAAAATTAAATAATTTAAAATATGAAACAGCTGCATGGATTGCTATGCTGGGATTCTATGAAAAGAACTGTCATGATTTTTAAAATAAGCTCTCTTTTTTTAATGAAAAGCAAATTTAATTGGTCTCTAGGGAAACGGCAACTTTATCTTGCATATTTTATCAGTAGTTTAAACTTTTAATATTTTTTGTTAAGAAATATTTGATCCAAAGTAGAAAAGAATGATGTGATGCTTTACGTCATGTACCATAACTGTAATATTTTAACATTGCATATCCTAAAGCATTTTAATACCGTGAGAGATTTGTTTGGAATTGTACAATAGTGTGTACAATTAAATAAATTTTAATTTTACAGTTTCTTCATCATGTTCAGTTTCCTATGATTCTCCTGCATTCAACAACAACAAATCATTACAACCACAGCTTACCATTAAAACAGAAGCTCTTGGATCTTCTTCTCCTGTTCTTCACCTACCCTCTGCTGGGCCTCCTTGCGATGAGGAACAAGTATCCTCTCCTGGATATTCTTCTGGACCTTTGCCATCTTTTACTATATCCCCATCTTCTGGACTTGCTTTTTCTGGAATTCCTTTAATTACAGGGCCTTCTCCTGATGGATCTTTTCTGATTAGACCTTCACATGGTTACTCTAAAATGGATATATTAATTTCTGAGCTAAGAGAATTAAAAGAGGAGGTGGGTAGTGCTGTTCAGGAACTTAAAAACATAACTGATCAGCTAGGCCATTTGCTTGCCTACACAGAACAAAAGTCAAAAGTAATTCCTACTACACCTACTGAGAGTTGAGTTATGTCGTGGAACCCTCCATCTGGATTATTTTATTGAATACTATTTAACTATGTTACTCTACATTCATTTTTTTTCAAAAGCATGACCAAAATATTATCTGAAAAGAACTATATACAGTATCTATATTCTGCTAGCAAATCATTTGTCCTATTGTAAATATATAATATTTCATAGTAAATAAATGTATAT